TCCATATCTTTTTCCTGTAAATCAGTTACTGGTTTGTTTTGGTAGGACTTTTATCAGTCCAAGTACAGCAGACTCTCCTACACCAAATGCTGGTTCTTTTATAGTTGCTTTCCTTACGTTTTTTGTGGTTGTCGCATTTTCTTCTTTATCCGCTGAAGTAAATGGTATGGTTCAAATTGCATCAAATACCCAAGAGGTTCGCAGAGACACCACATCTTGTAAACGTATCGTATCAGCTTTCCTTTTAAAAATTGTTTTGCCCCATACTTACCAAAGTATGAAGCCATACTTTCAACACTCAACCTTTCTTGGAGATCTGAGTATTTCAAAAATTTTGAATTAAGCATTTGCATCAATTTTTTGTTATTATTATTAGCACAGTGGAGATAACTTTTTAGCATTTCGAATCTATTTCTTCTCATAGAATTCACTAGTGCCATATTGTAAGATTCGGTTCCTAGCTCCCACCACATTCTACATCTAGGAACAACACAATAGACAGATACTAGTAGTATGGCCAAAAACACTTTATTTCTTCATTGGAATCTCGGAAATGAAGTTCACCCTTTTGCTGTGGATATAACGTCGTCATTTCTGCCAAAGATGATATAATATTATCAAGAAAAAGCTCAAAGCATTCCACCGGATCAGAAGGAATGGGTGCTGATTGCATTGGTTTCTCAAAGTTTGGAAATCCAGGAAAAAGATCGGATTTTGCCAGTTTTTTTTCGGTAATTTATTTTATTTCTTCTCATAATATTCATTAGTGCGATATTGCAAGATTCGGTTCCTAACTCCCACCACATTCTACATCTAGTAACAACACAATAGAGAGTAATAGTAGTATGGCCCAAAAACACTTTATTTCTTCATTGGAAACTCGGAAATTAAGTTCACCTTTTGCTGTGCATATAACGCCGTTACTTCTGCCAAAAATGATGTAATATTATCATCAGGAACAAGTTCAAAGCATTCCACCGGATTAGAAGGAATGGGTGCTGATTGCATCAGTTGCTCAAAGTTCGGAATTCAGAAATAAGATCGGATTATTGCCAGTTTTTTTTTTGGTAACTTCGTTTGTATTTCTGACAAAGGTTCGTTGTCCCTATTTGCCTCTTCGTCAGTGTCGCTGTCACCAATTATGAAATCCGTCTTTGATTTGCAATTTTCTCCATAGCTTCTGCTTGAAGCTATCAACCATCCAGTCATTGATGTCGTTGCAGAAGTCTTCATTGTCGCTATATTCAGCACCATCATCTGGAAGAGTGATAAAAACATCAGCGGCACAAAAATCCACGCCTTCTATTACTTCAATAAGTTCTGCAGTTGTGAGGGGTCTGAAATTATTAAAAATCTTTATGGACCTATTTAGCATAGTTCCAATATTGGAACTTTTGGGAAAAAGTGTATTTTTTTGTACTTATCCTATTTATTATTATAGATGATATATGGAAATGTGTTGAAAATTGTTAGGGCAATAAACACAACCCAAAATAATAGATAATATTAGTTTAATAACAGGAAATGTCACTTACCTTTAACCAGCCATTTTTTACGATAGAAATTTCACACATTAAAGGCACAATAATTCGTCAAACAATCACTCTCACTAATCAATGTGTTTACTGAAAACGTAACAACAAAGCGTGGAGGGGAGAAAAACGGGGGTGTTCCATTATTGGAACTCTGGGCATAAACGGGTTAAATTAATCTTACCGATGAATATCAGCTGTTGAAATTTTATATTGATTAAAATTATTTTCATCTCCAGTTAAATTTAAGTATTTAATCCCAGCTTGTAAACTACCTAAAGCATGTTTTAAATCAGCCGAAGGTAAAGCCATATAATTTCTTTGTTGGCCTTCATTAAAAAAGAGTAATCTATTTAAATCTTGATCGATTTCGTCACCAGAAAATTCATTCTTTTTTAATCGAACAACCAAAATGTTGCAACGATCAAGAATTTTTTTTAACGACACCAATTCGGGTGAATCCCCTTGGGGTATTATACACTCCTTCGGGCCAATTTGTGCGATTAACGCATCGAGTTGAGTGTGGAATTCGTTATCGATAAATTCGGTTAAGAAAAATGTTGATTCCGTTGTATTTATACAAGCTACACCTAAATTATTTGCCTTAATGTTTTTGATACACATTATGGTCGAATTAAAAACGGTATTTCCGGAATTATCAAATAAAATGTCTTCGAATTGGCTTAAATTTCCTGGGGATCCTTTATATTCTAACGACCAAGTGTTTTGGCGACTTTGCGTTGAGGGTTTTGTGTAAACTTCAACTCGGTATTGTTTAACAAGAAGTAATTCTTTGATGAACTTTTCGAAATTTCCTCTGCTTAAAACCAAGTAACTCAATTTCGGTTCTAAACCCATGTATTTAATTATTTTATTGCCGAAAATTGTTTCTGAGGCTAATTTTGCATCGTCCTCGTGGACCGTGTAATAATCGGAGTGATTAAAAAATCTTACTGTAGCAGAGATGTTCTAAAAAAAAAAAAAGAAAAAAAATAATAATTTTTTTGTTATTAAGATTAATTTAAAAGAATTGTTTTTGTGGATCAAGGAAAAAGTCTTGATAATGACCCCAATTTTTTTATTTTTTAAATCCGCCTTTTAAAATATTACCAAATTTGGGGTATTTCCAATTTAAATTGTTCTGAGAATATTATTATGACGTCTTTAATTTGTTATTAATAATAAACCCACAGGTTAAAGATAAATTCATTCATAAAGATGATCGAATGTGTTTACGACATTTCTATGTATTATTCGTTATGAGTAATACAGGTTGCTTTAAAATGTAAAAGTCATAAACTAAATAGGACTACTATTTCTGTTGATTACATAATGACTTTCAGAACGTGACTTAAAAAATAAGATTCTTGAATGAAGTTTTTTTATAATAAAATAATGATCTTGTCTATTCAACAATGAAAACGATGGAAAAATAATTCAACGGATGATTTTAACTAATTTAGTGGCGTTAAAACCATAAAGATGAGCCCCAATAGTCTGTGTAGAAGGTTTTCAGTTTTTGTAATCCCTATAGGGTGTCACAATAAGTCACAACCTACAATATCACAATCCTCCAATGTACAGAGTGTTGCGAAACTCTTCATACGAATGATTCGTTCAGAAATCAAATGATTCATGTCCGGTGGTGATGATATAATATATCATTGATTGATGGCCGTTTATACTCTGAAAGGTGTTCTTGTGCTTGATTTCGTGATCAAAAAGTGTGCTATAAATAAATTATGAAAATTTGAGGTCAACTAACGACTTGACGAGATGCTTCTTCATTTTTCTTGTTCCAGGATTTGATTTTTCAAGTTCTAAGTCTAAATATATCCGTTGTTCATCCCATTTCTGAGTTTAGATCATGATTTTATAAATTGAAATGAGTATGAATATTATAAATCCTTGTTTATGTATAAAGAATTAGACTCTTCGATGTCTTGTTTTTCTTCTTGGTCACGCATTTCTACAAGCTCATCAATTGTCAGCACCTGATTATGTGAATCCGGCAGTTCTTGAACGTCATCACCTCTAAATTTAATTGTCTGGCTTAATTAAGATCGACCACTTGTTCAATCACATTATCAATTTGATCAGGATCTGACGTTGATTCTTTTTGGCATTTAGTGGTGAAAAAAAAATGGACACAATTTTTTCCAGATTTTTTGCCATTTAAAGTTTTTTGTGAAATTTCATTCCAAGATTGTCCAATAATTCTCACGGCATCTAAAACATTGAATTGCTTCCAAAAGTTTTCAACAGAAAGGTCATTATTTTGTCTCGTAGCTTCGTGTAGATGCGCAAACAATCGTCTCTTATTATCAGTTGAAGCAAACAAGTTGTATTCGGTGTCAAAAATACAACTTTCACACGTGGGTCGAAATTAATTAGAGTTACAGGAGGATGACTCGATTAATAACATCGCTTTAAATGGGATTGGCAATAACGTTCGACTTCAGGTACGAAGTGATGACCAAATCAGTCTTCAAAAAGAGAAGCTGTTACCTAAGCTTTAACATTCCACTTCCAAATCACGGGCAGCCCAGTTTTAGATTTATTTTTTAAAGCTCTTGGATTTTGTGAGCGATAAATTAAAAGAGGTTTTAATTTATGGTCACCAGCTGCATTCGCGCCAACCATCACTGTCAATCGATCTTTGGCGGCTTTAAAACCTGGAAAAGTTTTCTCTTCACGCGCGATAAAAGTTCTTTTAGGCAATTTTTCCCAGAATAGACCAGTTTCATCTACGTTGAATATGGTTTGGCTGCTAAAGCCACCTTCTTCTATCATTGCGTTGCGTATTTCCACTTTCTACGATGCTATGCCAAACTAAGCTAAACTAGCATTAAACATTTCATCTTTGGCCGCCTCCCCCGATTCTTTTTTTAATTTCTCAAAAATTAATTTAGCTTGAAAGCACACCGTGTTCTGATCAACGGGTCAATTTTTTACTCTTACTTGATTATCCAGTGTGTCCCCGGATAGGTGAAACGACTCTTATAAAAGGTAAATTTTTTTCGATATTAATTGTGATTTTTTGGGATTTAGCCCTGCTTGATTAAAGAGTAATTTTGAACATATTTTCAATTTTTAAAAAACAAGTGAGCCTTGACAGCGAAAGAAAAACTCTTTTTGTGGTAGGCAAAGTACCTTTTCTGTTTACAGTACGTGAAAGTGTTACTAAGAAGTTTTGTTCAGAATGAAAAACTATGGCCATATGCAAATTTTCGGA